CCACCTAACTGGTCTTTCCCCTCCTCTCTTTTTGCCCTCTTTTTCCCCAAATCCAGATCCCACTTGTGTTATAGAATATTAAATAAGATCATGCATGTTACTTGCTTAGCACACTGCCTGGTACATAGAAGAACCCAATAAATGCTAACTATTTTACTTTACATACCTCTCTTACTATCCTTAACTTTCTACATAGCCTTATTTGTCTGTATTTTACCTTTCTGTCTAAATTCTAAATTCATTACGCTTTGGTGCTATGTATAATTTATCTTTCAATATTCCCAAGCCATTATACATACAGTCTTATACTTACCTATTTATATTTTCACACTAGATGTAACATACATATAGTTTTCATACTTTTATATATTTACACATTTGTATTTTCATACTATTCTGAAAAGATTGTATAGATAAAATGTGTAACTATATATTTACATATTTGTATTCTATATTTACCATTTGTTGCCTGAATAAATACAGCATGAGTAAATTGTGACCACACAATCATGAATCCTACACTCTATGTCCTGTTGAATCAGTTTAACTACAGTTGTATATTTCCTAGTCTATTCCTCCTAACCTATTCCTTTCTCTATTAGCAAAGAGCTGCATAAAAACTCTGTTCCACTCTTCTGAGCAGGCACATTACTCTTGCTTGGCATACTCATGAACAATGAAAAATCCTAGCTAAAAGCCACAGAACAAATAGCCATTTTAGTACTGAGACCAAGCAGTTCTTTTGCTGTGGGGGCCGTCGGTCCTAACAGAGGGACTGCCAAAAGTATTCTGGGTTGTCATGGTGGAAGATGTTCTTCAGCATTCTCCTTGCTCACCCTCAGCTGACTTCATATTACATGTTTCACTCATGTTATATGTGCATAGATTGTTCAGTCTCCCTAATCAGACTATCATGAGGATAGAATATAGGGCTTCTGTCTCATTAGTTACCCAAATTACCTGACCTACTAACAGGTTGCTATGTCAGAAAAAGAAGCCAGCCCAGAGGTGCATGCTAAATTATTCTGTTTACATATGGTATTATCAAAACAGGTAAAAATTAATATATCTGTTTGAAGTCAAGGTGGTGGGGAAAAAGTGGCCAAAAGGAACTAATAGAAACACTTCTGGGTGTTGGTAATGTTCTATTTCTTGATCTGCGTGCTAGTTATTTACCACAGTTGTGTTCAGCTTGTGAAAATCCATCAAGCTTAAGACATACGCACTTTTCTATATTGTTATTTTACTTTATTTCAATAAAAAAAAACTTGGGTTTTGTGTCAGTTCTGTCTGAAATAAATTGAAAACTTGGAACTTGGGCATCTTTTAATCAAGTTCTTAGTGTTACTTAAAAATTTTGATGTATGTCTCAACCTCCTGGAATTAGTCAGGCAGCATGTTTTTATTGCACAGATTTCCTATGTGCCCTTCATTTATTTCTCAAATTTACTTTCAGTCCTGATGGATTCTTAAGTGAGAAGTTATAGTTAAGTCTGTATTTCCGCCTTCTTTAGAATATCCTCTACAAAAATAATTACAAAAAAATGACTTTTACAGGGGAGAGAATGTGCCCTGGATGCCATTCTAAAGTGTCTCCTTCTTCCATATTATGAAAGAATTACAAATTAAAATTCCAACTCCAGAGATCAATAACTACAATATGATAGAGACAACAGTGGAAAGAAAGTCCTCAGATTTAATTTACTAGCAGGAAAGAGCACTCAGAAAAGAAAGACTAAGAACAAGAACTGAGCTCTCTTCTACAACAATGGAAAGACCACTTGCTGTCATGTAAATGACGACAGGCTGGTACAAAACATTTCTTTGCTACTATTTAACCTCACCATCGTGGCTATTTGGGCCCAACAGGAATTTCACTCACTACGTGAGGTGGATCCTGGAGGCCATCAAAAAAAGTTGCTTTTCCTATTTGGAATAATGATCATTCCTTCCAAGTAAACTAACCGACCCCAGGTATTGAATCACTGACAAAACAATTACTATTAAGAAACTTGGATTTAATCAGAGGTCAGTAGGAGATGATTCCTCAAAATTGGGCCAATGTAAACCAAGGAGAGAGACTGCTATAGCAGCAATTAGATTTCACTGCTCATCCTCAAGGACCGCTGAGTCTTCTGAGCAACAAAGGAAAGGAATTCAACTATCAGTAAGGAAAGGCATTTTGAAAGTAACTGGAAAAGAAATGGCCCGCCGGCTCTTCCTTTCAAGGGTATAGTGTTAGGGCTAAGTCTGGCAGCAAAAACAATTGGTGAAAACATGTAACAACTGTAATGCACTAAGGCTATCCTTAAACTTCAGTGTATTCCCAATTGCCAAAATAGCATAATTTCAGACTCCTGTCTCTAAATAGCTTCAAACTTTCCCCCAACAACCTTCATTGCAGCCTTTTTCTGCAAACCTTTGCAGGCTGCACCTGTTTCACACATCACCTCTGGAAGCAGACTTGGAGAAGAAAAGAGAAAATAACACAAATCAATTTTTTACCAAAACAAATTTTTTTTTCCAGTTTAGTGTAAAAAGAGAGGTCTAGTGGGGAACTCAGAGAAGGGGAAACAGACATCTGGCTAACTCCCAAGGCAGAAACCATGACTCATCAAGGCTTTCAGAGGGGACAGGAGACTGCATTTGTCTTGAGTTCACCTTCAGGCCAATAAAAGGCTCTCTAAACTGAGACTGGGAAACTTGAGTGTTTGTCCTGTGTCTGACAACTGGCTGTGGGGCCTTCAGCAAAACCCTAAAAAGTTTCTGAATCTCTGTTTCCTCATCCGAGGATGATCTCTGGGAAAGGTTCCATCTGGCTTGAACAGACTAGACAGCACTTGAGATTTCAAGTTCCCATAGACTACAGAGGGCTGGCCCGCTGGGGGGAGCTGCAGACCATCCCTCTCCTCTCAAACTCCAGGGCCATAGGCCCAGATTCTGGGAGCTGCTGCAGTCCTGGGAGGAGGAGGGAGAGAGTTCAAAGCCCTCTCTATAAAAGGGGCTGCAATGACAGATCCAGTCCCCACAGACCCTGAACCTCGCGAGATTCCAGAAGTACCCTCCACATCTTCACCCCCTGCCCCAGGGCTTCGACGCTCCAGGGATGAGGGTCTGGGAAGCCTGGGGGAGAAAGAGGAGGCAGAGGGGGCGGGGTAGGAATAGGAATACGGAGCAGAGGTGCAGGGTGTCTCTCTTCCAGGAGGAGAGCTGGAGAGATCCCGGGGGGACGTACTGGGAACACGCCAGGCGAGGGAGAGGTGCGGGGGGGCATGGAAGGAGAAGAGCAGCCCTCTGTCTGTTCCTGACTCCCCTAGCTTGGCTCTCCTCTCGGGGGGTCAGGGGGTCTCTCCGTGCGGAGCAAGGGGCGTGCCTGGGAGCGGAGGGCAACACAGCCCGGCCCTGGGCGCCTGGCTGCGACTGGTCAGTTCCAGACCGCCTGGGCCCCAAACCTTCAACCCCGTCCGCTAGCGAGCTCAGCAAGACAAAACAAACTGGTGCGGGCTTCCTGTTGTGCAACCCAGCTCCTGAGTAAGTCGGGGCCGAAAGAGCGCCAACGCTGGCCCACCGCTGGGAAGCCCTGGCGACCCGGTCCCAAGACCACGCGGCCTGAGCGGGAACCCGGAGGGAGCCGCGGTCCCGCTCGCCGCTCTGGAGCGCAGGGCCCCCCACCCCCGAGGGGCCAGTGTCCTCACCCTCAGGTGTCCTTTCACTTCTGCCTCCCAAATGCCCCCAGCAAGTCCCAGGGCGCGACCCGGGACGCCAGAAACGACCTTTCCCAAAGTGTCTCCCTCCGGGTACCTAATTGAATCATCCATAGGATGACAAATCTGGCAGGGCCAAGTTTTCCAGACACTTGGGTGACTTCCTCATCCCTGAGGTGACTTGTCAGCTCCAGTGAGTAACTTGGAAGTGTCGCTCCGGGGCAAGGTGTGTGTCTAGGAGGGAGCCGGCTGCTCACTCACGCTTTCCTGAGCGCAGCTCCACCGACCGACTTCAAAACACACACACACACACACACACACACACACACACACACACACAGGGTCATTTATAGGGACTGGAGCCGTGCGCGGGACAAAGTCCCCGAGGCTGAGACACTTCCCAAACACTGCTGACATTTTGTCGGGCCCCATGAAAATGTAAACGGGAGGTGATGAGCCGGGCAGGGAGGGCGCGCGTCTGCATGTGTCTGCGCATTTTGCAGCGGCGTGGGGGGTTATAGCTACCGCCAGGAGGATGTGGGTCACCAGACCATCCTCGCGACGAGCTAGGGTACCCCCGACCCAAGGACCTGTGGGAGCCATGGGGACTTGGGCTTGAGCAGGACACAAGCGTGGAAAACAACCTTCGTGAAGCTCCGCGCACACACACACACGTGTGGAACTGGCAAAGACAACTACAGCCCCGTGTGCACGAGAGACCTCAGGTCACCCCATCAATTCCGACTTTTTTTTTAAGTTTCCCTTCAGTGAAGACTTCATGAGTTGCATGCACAACCATGCCCGTGCGCCCTGTAACTTTCCCTGATTATGGAACCCTTTGGCCCCCTGTAGTTGGAAAAAGAGAGAGAGAGAGAGAGAAAGAGAGAGAGAGAGAGAGAGAGAGAGAGAGAGAGAGAGAGAGAGAGAGAGAGAGAGAGAGAGAGAGAGAGAGAAGGAAACACATAAAATAAAATAAAAACTCTCCCTAGAGAAACTTTAAAACCTTGTTGATTTCCTTTCCGTTCTCTACACTGGACGCTCTTGGGCAACTGACAAGAGCGCAGCTTGGATCTGTCTTTGAGGGTCGCTATCTCAGTAAACAGATCTTTTATTAGAGAATCCGGGGGTGGGGATGCGCGTATCTTTAAAGCCTCGCAAACACCGGCTCAGCCTGGAAAACTATTTCTAATCCCTACTTTTGTGTCTCCCAGAGTTCACTCCCCCACACGCACTCTAAGGCGGCCGGCTCCGTCCCCTCTGCCACCAGCGAGCAAAGTTCCTATGGCATCCACTTACCAGGTAACCGGGATTTCCAAAACAAAGCCGGGCTGCGGGTCCCTTCCCCCGGCCAGCCTGCGCGAGTGACAGCGGGAGGCCAGCGCCGGCGAGGAGAAACTCGGGGCTCCAGCCCTTCAGCACGCTCCTCCGCGGGCTCTGCCTCCTTCTGAAATGAAAACTCCCATCCCAGCCCGCGGACGGAGCGCGGAAACCCGGCCCCAGTGCCCTGTGTGCGCGCGCGTGTGCGAGGGCAGCGGCCGCGGGGGGGTGGGGGGGTGGAGGCAGAAGGGGGGTGGCTGGACCCTCGGCATCAGCTTATTCTCCCCCGCTCCACACACACCCACCCACACAGACGCAAACAGTGTTTGTAAAAAGTTGAGTTTCGACTTGTGTCTCGCCTGTCCAGCTCATCCTCGCCCTGGGCCGGGGGTGCGTCTGGGGGCCGGCCTGGGACACTGGCTAATGGGCTTCGGCGGGTCCCCTGGGGAAGGGCCGGTGCGAGCCTGGACGGCTCCGGGCGGCGCTGGTGCCCGTGCGCGCCGCGCTCCGGGCTGCCCGAGCGGCGCAGTGCGGACGCGGCCACGGGGATCGGGGAAGGGGGAGGAAGGGAGGGAGGCAGGGAGGGAGGCGGCCCTGGGAGGCGTGTGGATGTTAGTGCGGCTGCGAGGGCCGGCCTGTAGCCAGCTGCTTCCTGAGTGTGAGCCGAAGGGGGAGGGGTGAAGGGTGGGGGCGGGCTCGCTGGTCACCAGGCTGGCCAATTCCAAGGCTGAGCTTGGGTCTCTCTCTCAGCGCATTAACACACTCACTCCTAACTTTGCACCAAGGAGTCCAGAACTCCAAAACAGGGAGGCTAGGGCAAGGAGACACTTTGCCTTCTTCTTGGGCCTTATTTGGTGAACTGGCTTTTTTCTTTAACATGAAAAGGCAAGAGCACTCATACTGTATTTGATGTCAAGTCCTAAAGAACAAGAGAAAAAAAAACAAACCAGAAATAAAACAGAAAGAATAAAAACAAATAAGTAAAAAATGGCAAAAGTGTCTTTCTAATATACAGGATTGGATGCACATAACTTCAGAAATAGGTGAAGCACAGAGGATGCTTTTGGCATCTTGTTAAAATAAGGCACAGGCAGAGGAGAGTGGAAGGTGATGGAAATGATACAAGGATGTAAAATGCTAAACAGGATGCTAAGATTGGAGGCACATTCCCTGCCTATGTTGCATCTATTATATTAGCAGTACTTTCTCCTTAAGAATTCAACATCCTCAGCTTCATGCCCCCACCTAAGCTGTGACCCCCTGCCCTTCTGCTCGATTTGATCAGAGCCCTGAAGAGGTTGGTCATCTGTTAGTGGTCCCCCACATGTATTGCCACAGATGCCCAGACTTCCATCTTGGGAATCAATACATGTGAAGTACACACACAAAGCACAATGCATATAAAACAAGTATCCTTGTTAGGCCTTTCTGCAGTGAAAGGATTATTCACTGTCGTGAAAGAGGATATCTCAAGACACTTAGAATTTCACCAGACCTTATATTTTATTCTAGGGCTCTCACTCAAATATAAATTAGCATTCAGGTAGTAGGTGCTATGATCAAAATAGAAGCCCTCAAGTATACAAAAGTGACCCAACCCAGAAAAGCAAACCAAAAAGACTGACAATTTTATCTTATTTCAGAAATAATATTAAATTTGGTCTGCATCCAAGACATTGACCCAAAAAGGGCCAATTTTACAGAACTTCTTATGTTTTATTGTGATCTACTTTTCAAGACTCCCTTTAGGGAAGGTGTGTTTTTTCCCCCTTTCCTAAAGACAAACTCACCAGAATATTTGTCGACAGAAGAGAAGAGAGAAAGAAATTAAAAAGTGCTTAGGATACATCATTCTATCAATTTTCCAGTTTCTTTCTCTCTTCATCTCCTTTTAAAAGCAAGTATCCAAGCCCAAGATGGCAATCAATGAGTTCAACCACACACAAGAAAAGAAAATACTAATAAAATGAAGCATGCAGCAAATCACAAAAACAAAGAAACCAAGTACTGGAAATTGCCATGATTATTCCATTGTGGCTAGTTATTGCAACATGCCTAACATTCAAATAAAAACTCTTCCTCATTAACTCCAGCCTTCAGGAGCAGAGCAAGAGGGAAACACTGACCCTTTAGTGCATCATTGGGAATTCTCTTCATCCAGATTCTTGTGCTGTATGGACTGCTCCCCAGGAATAAGACAAGGCTGGGTGGAGACTGCGAAAAATCTTTCTAATGTGCTTCAAATACCATTTCAAACACAATGAGGTTGATGACTGAAATGATATCCTAGGGGCTTGCAGAAGCTTCCAAACTTCCAACTTGGTCGGAAGAGCTTAGCTGGAAGAGAAAAATATAGTGCTACTCCCTACTTTAATCAATGGCTCATGGAAATAAAACACTGGAAAAGTTATTAGTCATCAATCTGGAGATCCCCAAAATTATCTTCACTTACAAGAGCCTAAGGGTAGGAATGCCATTTTTTTTACCTGGGTGGAATTTTCATGAGCCTCTAACATTCCTAAGACATTTACTACTAAATAGGTACAGTGCTGAGGTTGACTTTTTTTTTTTTTTGCCAGGAATGTAGATATGCAATGTCCTTACATTCCATGGGATACAGTAAAAATGCAGCGCTTCCAATACAACCCTGGAGTGACTCCGAATGAGATCTGCACCTCTTCTGGACTGAATCCTTTAGCTGGGGGAGGGGAGAATAATGAGAGATGGTGGGAAAGGAAATAGTGACATTCTTCCTTCCCCATGAGCTCTTCATCATGCTTAGGAATCATGCACGCCCTGGCAGCCTTTCAGACAGAAAGGTGGGACTATAATCCATTCGTATCTTTCCTCTCTGGAGCCTTCAGTTGTATCTATCTCAACTGCTGACTCAGATAGGGCAGCAGCCCAGGGCTGATTCCGTAGATAGGGCCCTGCTGCCAGCTCGAGTCTTCATTCATTTGAGAAACAGTCAGTGAGTACTTATTCTGTTGAAGGATTAGGGGTAAAGAAATTAACACTTGTAGGCACTTTGCATGGAAAGATGTTACATAAAGTATTTTGCCCAGTTCCTCAAAGTAATCTTATGTGATGGCCACTGGTAGTCTCCTATTTTTAAGCAAAGATGCTGGAGCTCAATAAACAGTTAAAAAGGAGTGAAAGGTAGAGCTAGATTTGCCAGTCTAGAAGCCCTAAGTTCTTTCAACATTGATGTCCTACAAAATAACTGCCTGCTCTTGAAATATACTGAAAGTACACTAAAACTATATAAAATACAAGGAATCTTTTTTTTTTAATATACTTTATTGATTTTTTACAGAGAGGAAGACAGAGTTAGAAACATCGATGAGAGTCACTGATCAGCTGCCTCCTGCACACCTCCCACTGGTGATGTGCCCGTAGCCAAGGTACATGCCCTTTGACGGGAATCGAACCTGGGACCTTTCAGTCTGCAGGCCGATGCTCTATCCACTGAGCCAAACCAGTCTCAGCAGTACAAGGAATCTTGATTAATGTCAGGTAAGTACCACCAAGTGTGGAAGAGGTGGAAATAATTTTCTACAACAGTATAAGGAATAGTACAGCTATTTGAGCTGGACTTCAAACAACGGGTAGGAAACTGATAAATGAAGAAGATGATTCCAAGTAGGGGAATCTGTATTAGAAAGAACATAAAAGATATGGATCTGCTCTCAAAGCTGGAGTACAAAATCAGGACATTTACAATCTCATAGCTGTAGCCCTGAAACACAGCAAATGGGAGCAACCTAATAGCAAACTTTCAGAACTGTTATTTGTGTCTGAGTTATCTGACAGCAAACTATTTACAAACTTACAAGGAACTATGATTAGATTCTCCTGAAAAGTGTCTACAGAGAGAGGTTTTTAACCCCAGAATGAGGATAAGTTCAGCTAACAGCAACAGTGATTGTATGCCCAGCTATAAACACACACACACAAACACACACACACACACACACACACACACACACACAGCTGGCAAGATTCCAGTTATATAGAAATGAAGTGGAAAAAGTATTTGCCAACTGAAAGAAAACAACTAAATGTGTAAAATGGAAAATTTCATTTTACCTTCCTGAGTAGTACAAACAGTGGAATGTTATCAGTGCTTGATACCCTAATAAAGCTTTTAAGTTAATCTTTTTATTAATTTTGCCACAAGTACAGTCAGCCAATAGTCTCTTGCTTACACAATCAGTAATGCAATTTTTTAAAATTATAATTGACACCCATTAAATTCATAGCATCATACCTCTTTTCCTTTCTTTTTTTTTTTTAAATATATTTTATTGATTTTTCACAGAGAGGAAGAGAAAGGGATAGAGAGTTAGAAACATCGATGAGCGAGAATCATCGATCAGCTGCCTCTTGCACACCCCCTACTGGGGATGTGCCCACAACCAAGGTACATGCCCTTGACCGGAATCGAACCCGGGACCTTTTAGTCCGCAGGCCGACGCTCTATCCACTGAGCCAAACCGGTCCAGGCCCTCTTTTTCTTTCTAAGGTCAAATTATAAATCAGAGTCTAAACTGAAATGTGAAATATTTTACTCCATAGAGTGTCTCCACATCTTTTTTGATTGGAAAAAGTTTTCTTCCTATTTTATACAAATTCAAATGAGATGCATCTAATATTCTACAAGGTTGATTTTATATTCCTTGACATATTACTAAGGTATATGTAAAAAAAAAAAAAGTTGATTAAAATAAAAATAAATTCATAATATAAACAATATTCCACAGGCAGGCAGTTTCCTACTCTTTTACCACTTAGCATCTATGCTGGCTACTTATATATAGTGTTGTAAAATTATTTCCCTGATCATTATACTATCTTACCCAGAACTGCCTTCTCTAAGTACCTTCTAATATCAAAATTTATATTTTTTCATAAGTCTTCCATGGCCTAGCAACATTACTTGGCACTAGTAAGTTTTTAATGCTAACTGAATGAAATAAATGAATGAGGAAGTAAAAGAATGGTTTCCCCACTCTCAGATATTATGAATAGAACTAACAATGGTCCCATGTATGTGTGTGTGTGTGTGTGTGTGTGTGTGTATATATATATATATATATATATATATATATATAT